TTAGATTTTAAAGTAATTTTTTATAATTTCTAATTATAATCAAGATTTTATATATATATATATATATATATATATATATATATATATAATCAAATATCACTAGATTTAAAGAACAAATAATGATATCAAAAAAATATTAGATATTTAATTTTATAATATCAATTTTTTAATATATATATATATATATATATATATATATATATTATATTTTTTTATAATATCTTTCAATAGAAGTAATTATCTATTAAAAATATCTATTAGAACTAGTTGGATATTACAAACATATATATTTACTTAGACTTAGAAGTGTTGAGTTGAAATAAAAGCAAATAAATTTGATAACATCTTGTAGAAAAGCTTTTCAAAAACTTTCTAAGTACAAATTTGACTTTATACATGTTTATAGTTAGTTGATTAGTGAAAAACCTTTCCAACAAATTGGTCACTCATAGTAGAAGTTTGCCATGTGGTACACATATACACTTATATTATAAGTTTGCTATGTCGTAGTTGATGATACATGTCCAAGTTGGACATGTGTTAGAGATCCTATAAAATATTTTTATGCAAATTCTAATAAGATAGTATATATAGAGACAAGAATAAAGCTTTTTTTTAGTTGTGTCAGTGTCTTTTTTGTTTTAAGTCTTGTTTTAAGAGTCTTGAATCTTCTTGATTTTGACAATATTTATTTTAGTTTTAATACTATACTACCTTTGAATAAATATCTACTATTTTAAAGTGAAAACAAGAGAGTAATAATGTTTTGGTTTTTTGTGATTTATATCCTTGATATTGGATTTTTTAATTAATAATTTCTTTGTGTGATACAAAGTCTTTATTTATTAATTATGGTGAAATGTCAATATTTAAAAGATTTTGAGATAAAAATATTATAATTTAAAGTTATAATATTCATAGGAATTTTTTAATAAGATTTAAGATCTAATTATAGTATAAAATCTGTATTTACTGGTCTTAAATTTTCTAATTATAAGATTCCAACTACAATTATATATCTTTATTTTTTGACTTTTTCATCTTCACATATATTATTTTTTTTATTTAAATCCTATTGATTGGATGCAATATTTTTATCCCTTATTATTTTTTTTCACATTATTAATACAATTTTTTAAGATGGTATTTATCATTTATTTATTTATTTTTTACTAGTGTCAACAACTTTAAGTAAATTGTATCAATATGCATAGATTTCGACCTTCATAATAAGTTTTTGAAAACTAAGAAGTTGTTACAATTACTTGATTTTTTCCTCTCTAATGAAATCTTTATTCTTGAAACCTTTTAAAGAATGAATTATTATGTGCAATAGAATTGTGTTAAGAAAAATTTAGTTTTGAAGTGCACATGACATTGAATTGTAGAAGAATTTAATTTTATCTTAAAGTTGAATTTATAACCAAAAAATATATATATATATATATATATATGATATAAAAAAAAACCTAAGCAATGTGAAAAACATTAAAAAATCTTGAAAAATAATCAAAGTTAAATCTTTAAAAATAACTAGAAATCTAAATAAAATCCTTAATAATGATTAAATAAAAAGGTGGTCTTCCTACCTTGATATGAGACACTATTCATGGCTAAGATGACCTATCAACTATCTTCAAAGAAAACAAAGTTCAAGATTTGTGGCAAATATAATTTGTTGCATCTTGGATTTTTTCAACATATTATAACAATTCCTCATAGAACTTGTCTCTTCAAAGAAAGGTAATATCATGGACCTACATATTTATTCTAATATTTATTTATATGATTAAATAGAAATAAATAAAAATAGATTTATTTCATAATATTTTTTAGAGAACTTTCTTAAAAGCTTCTTAGACGTTGCTTTGACTTTATATGTGTTTGTAGTTGATTAGTAGGTTAAAAACCTGATTAATAATTTAACTACATATTGATAGCAAGCTAACTATGTGGCATACATATAGAAACTTGCTTTATAAGTTAAGATAAGTGTCTTGCAAAGTCAATACATTTTAGAGGTTCTATAAGACATTGCCATGTAACTCCTAATTAAGAGTATATACAGAGGCATGAGTGAAGCCTTCTTCACTCTTGTCAATGCCTTTCTAGTCCTTAGTCTTATTTCAAGACTTTCTACTCTTCTTCTTTTGCAATAGCCATTCTAGTTTAATATTATATCATTTTGAGTGATTTTCTAGTCTTTTTGAGTGACATAAGAGTATATTATGTTTTTTTCCTTCAAGATTCATGTCCTTGATACTATATTACAACATTACAATGGCTTGAGCATTAAATTATTCTAATGAATATATTTTTTGTATTTCTAATAATTAATATTTGACATAATCTTTAAATACATATCAAATTAATTTTTTATGGTTGTATGATTCTGATTCACATCATAATCAATGTTTTGGAATTTTATAATACAAATAGTAGCTAATTTTGATCCTTGTTGTAAAGGATGAAGTTTTATTTGTAATATTATTTTTCAAATATATTTTTTAAAATGTATCCATAAATACTTCTAAGAATAACTTTAAATAACATAAAAGCCATAAATTGATTTATATCAAAAAGATCAAATTAAAAAAAAAAAAAAAAAAATCCTAGATGGGAATGTCTCTAAAAATCCAACTTGAATAAATTTGTTAAATTATTGAGAAAAATGTAATCTTAAGTAGTACTTAAATTATCATAAAAATCCTTAAAATTTTGATCTTATTCTATCAAAAAATTTAAATATGCTAATTTTATTTTTCTTTATATTTATAATAGTAAGTATTTTTAGATTCACTAATAAAGTTACTTTATTTGCATCTTTGAATTACACAACTTCTTGATATAGATATTAGATCTCATTATTGATCTCTTCTATAGACCTACAAATAATACTTCTATGATTGGCATTGGTCATACATGAAATTTTTGTTTTAAGAGTATTGACAAGCTTGTGAAGATATATTATATTTATAAATCTATTTTCACTTCTATTAAATATAATATCTATAATTTGTTTTTCCTCTATTCCTATAATATATAATTTTAATAAATCTATAAGTCAAATTAGATGAAAATAATTTATAACTTCAAATATCAAGTAAAAAATTATAAAAAGAAATGTTCTCTCTTTTCTTTAAGAAAAGGATTTATGGAAGCAAACAATAAATATTAGTTTAAAGGTGGGTATTCCATAATATTTAAAATAAAAATATAAGAAGTAGAATAATTTACTTACTTTTAAAACAAAATAATTATAAAAAATTAAGACTCTTATCAAATTATCAATGATATTTAATACAATAAAATTCTATAAATGACAATAAATTCTTATATCACCAAGAAAAAATAGACAACTAAAAAATTGATATAGAATTAAAACTAAAATGACTATTGTTAAATGCAAAAAAAAAAAAAAAAAAAAAAAAAAAAAAGTTTTTAACTAACATAGAATATAAGAAAGCCATTGACATAAATAAAGAAGACCTCACTTTTGCCTCCACATATACTATCTGCTAAAGAATTACATAGCAATGTCCTATAAGCCATATGATAAATGTTCAATTTGCAAGATACATGTCTAATTTGTAGGACAAATTTTTGACATGAGCATCACATGGCTTACTTGTAGCAGATGTAGCTAAATGTACAATATGTAACTAATTTGTTGATTAAGTTGTTAGCCTATCAATCACTTATAAACACATGTAAAGTCTATAAAGTTTAGAGGATGTTTTCTAATAAGATATCAACATATTTTTACTAACTTCTACTTCGTTCTATTTATCTAAGTTAATATAATAATAAATATAAGTATTTTTTCTACCTATGACTTTAAATTATTTTAATTAGTTGTTATTTATGAAATGAACAAAAGATAGATTATCTACAATAAGAACATATGATAGAAATAACAATAGAAACATTTGAAATAATTGTATCAAATTATAAAAAGTATATGTCAACAATATGATGTTTAATTTTTTTTATAATGCCATGATTATTTTTTATATCAAGACTGTTAAAAAGAAAACATAAAGATTTTGTTTTTTATTTTTTATTTTTTTAAATGCCACATGTGTAATACATAGTCTCTTACAATTTGATACAATTATGTCAAATGTTGCTATTGTCATTCCTCTCATATGCTCTTATTATAGGTCACTTATCTAATGTTTTCTTCACAAATAGCAATTGATAAGAATAATTAAAAAATAAGAGCGAATAATATCAACTCTAGTAATTATATTAATACTTTGAAAAAGTGCCTTGCAATGTAAAACTCTAGTTTATGGCAACTTACAATGGCATTAATAAAAACCATAGTGGCATGTTCTAAATGGCAACTTGTAGTAACAAGAATAAAAATTGAGGTGGTAATAACATTCTATAAATATTAAACAATTTTTTTTTATAATATAAGAGTTATTTTCTATGTAAATTACTCCTTAAATTTTGTAGTTATTTTCTGGTTCATTTCAAAGTTTTATTTTTTTATATAAAAAACATCATTATATTTGTGTTAAAATTTTAGAAGATAAAATTTACATATTTAGACATTCTAATTAATTTTAGATTTGGAAAGTTTTCTACTACATTTATATTGGTTGAAATATACACATGAAATTATAATCTACTCTCTATTATGACTTCACATAAATATCTGAAATTGTTAGAAAATATGCTGAAAGCAAAGAAGACAAAATAAATAACATCCATTGCTACAAATAATTTTCTTCCTCTTAAGTGTGTGTAAACTTAGCTTCTTCAATGCAGGTTAGATGCCATATCTTGCAAGTTTTGAGACAGATCCATCACATCACTGAGCTTCTCGTCAGCATATGATTAAACAGGTTCTGAGCTGGAGAATCTGGATCTGCCAAGTCCACAGGAGATTGCATTTCAAGGATAAAAATTAGTATGAAATTGATCAGTTGCAGCATTGTCACAAACTGATTAGAAGAAGAGTGAATTGGTACATTTCAAGATCAGTTTCATAACAGAATAGGCTGTTTTCTTCTTTATGGATTGAAGTCTGGTAAGCTTTGATCGTGGTGCAAAGATTGTGTAATCAACCAAGATAGAGTTATAAAATTTTCTGAATCTGAAACATTTAACTACAAAGGACTTCCTCCCTTGGTTTTTTAGATTGGATACTAACAAGCGCAAAAATTACAGCGCTGTATGTTGAAGAGGCAGATGTATAAAATGCTGATCTAAACTACTATTAGCAAAAATTGTTCATTCGGTACACTATAACACGAGTTATTACAAAAATTTCAGAAGATACTCCGTGAATTGGTGCACAGAATGCAGAGAAAGGCACAGCGTTTCATCATCGATGTCCAGAACACGTTTCTGCTGCTCCGGACTCTTGGAAGCGCGTATCAACATGCTTACAATCTCCTTGTACCCTAAAAAAACAGTAAGAGTTGCATAATAACAAAATACCCACGTGAAATTAGAGATGATTTGTACGAAATGAGAGGATCAAACCGAACAGGACGTAGTTTGGCCTCGACGGCGCCTTGATTTGATTGACCTAAACTGGCTATGCTGAGTCATTCATGTCAGAACGGTACCAAAGCAACGCACCTGATTATTCTTGAATCATGAAATGGCCCACATAGTGTATGTGTGTTTGTTCCAAACTTCCCCCGCATGCATCGTGTAGAGGTATTCCTTCATCTCTATCATCTCGGACTACAGTACTTGCACCGAATGCAAGCAGAATCTGGCACCTCCCACCCTTCGTTCTAATTTCCACAGCTAACGTCGAGGAAACTGCTTCAAGGAAATCTCAATTAAACGAGCCTTTACTACGGAAAGATAAGTAGCCAGAGAAATCAGTGATACTCCGCGTATTTTTATGATCATCTGGCAACACAGATGTACAAACATCATCTGAATCTGCATCTTAACATTGTTCATCTGCATCTTGGGTTGAAGGCGTTGAATAACCTGTATCTGTATCTTAACATTGTAGGTACAAAGTGAATGTGGCAACAAGCATCACGATGCAAAAGCTACTATAACTTCAAGAGTTGCACATGACTATCTGTCACAGTACCTGTATGTAAGAAAGACAGCCGAAAAGACAAGAAATGTGAAGTGGTCAGTGGCCGTCTTCGCCTTCACAATCATCGCCGTTTGTGAGGTTTGCGGTAATTTAAAGAACCACTCGTAGCATCAACTCAGCACTTCTGATCTGACGAAGCAGACACTAGGTGTGGTTCTGCTACCCAGAATGCCTGTTCGAGACGTAGCCGTAGAAGTTTTACTCATCTACCTTTGGCTTGACGAGTCTAGCTCATGTTCAACGTTCGACCCAAAAATTTCCACGATTCAGGTGAAACAGAGCCCTAGGGTGTACCACACACGAATTTAAGATTGTTTAAAAAATTGAGGATGTATATTCAACGCCTTCAACCCAAGATTGTAGGTTTTCAGAAAAGGGGTATGTTCGAAGCGGCATCACGCAGAGGCACATCTTTCAGACACTCGCAATCACATGATTTGAAGTTGTTTATCAGTCGCCGCCTCTTTAAAGCTTCGTAAGCAATAAGTACTGCGTAATGCAAATTATGCAAGTATCGGTGCAGACTTGAGAATTTTCACACTAAAACCTCAGGCTATGTAGTTGAAATTAACACGCTCTGTGAATATTGACATACCCCTCGAGAACGACAAGGAGAAGTTCAACCTTGGATACAATTGCCATTCTTGTAACTGGCTGAAGTTCAATCACTGGGAATTAGGCAATTAAGCTTGTCTATACAGGAAGAATGTGAATCACGCGCTTGCAGCTGAAACAATCGAATTCATACTTCGGGTCACCATTACAGCACCCGGCCACCAAACTACAGGATGAAAATTTAAGGAATACATGAACAATATAAGTACATCAAAATTAACTCGGAGGAAGACAGCTTATGCAATCTATGCAACGATTTTTATTCATATGGAGAACCCAGATACTCCTCACAGCGCTTCACAACCGTGTCTGTACCAATGTGGCTGGGAAATCTATTACGGACGTGTGCTCTTTAGCAATCCCATATCCAAGAGGCATATAGCAATACGCATATCCCGATTTCTAGGACGACGGGCCGTTGATCAAACCGGACATGCGACCAAAGTCGAAGATCTCAATCCAGTAACCGTCAGGGTCCTTGATGAACGCAAGTCCCTTCATCCTTCCTGTAATTCGCACACAAATGATGAAGCCCACCCTTATTTCAATCCCGATTCTCATCGTTTTGCTGTTTAATATCAGAAAACAATCTCCAAACAACAGCGGCCGAAATCCATGCAATGGGCAAGAAACAAGGTGTACGCAAATTCTTCATACTGGAAAAATTTAAATATTGAAACGGTCTAGTCCTGCTTAAAAACCCAGGCAATACTTTTCACAATAAATTATTACACAAACGGCTCCAACCGAGAACAGCATGGCTAACCTTCATCTGGGCGCTTAGCGAATTCAACCCCTAGCTTCTCAAAGCCTTCGCATGCTTTGTAGACATCATCAACAGTAATTCCAATATGCCCTGGAATAACATCAAAGTGTCGGCAACTTATTCATTGAAATTCGTGAGGGGGTCCTCTGATTTATTTCTAGAATGTATCAGGAGAACGTGTTGCTATAAATAGGTATCATGAAGCGTATAATGGACATCAGACTGCATAGAAAGACTCGCCTCACATTCTGCACTCATTGACGAAAAGACTCGGGTGTACCAGTACCACATTTCCTCACAAAAAAAAAAAAAAAAAAAAAAAAAAATTAAAGTCTCTGAATACAGCTACTGAAATCTAGGCTAAAGTTTCAACGGCTGGTGAAAATGACAAACGATAATGACGCTACAGTTAAGGATGGTCAAAAAAGTTGATGTCTTAGAACACATACCATAGCCTCGTGGATCACTGTTTCCATTGTGATAGCCCTTGAAGTCTGGATCTGATTCCGTTCCCCAATTACTGCATTCCGCAAATCAAAGCGAGGGCGGATGTAATTGTTGTAATTTTTAATAATAAAATGGAACATTCAATAGATTCACCAGCACGCTATCAAATGCAGGGAAGATATCAGCGACAATGAAAAAAACAAAGTGTCAGAAATGATACGCCAAGCACAATCATGTGAAGATATGCACTTAAGATATACACAACAATTATAGCAGACTAACGATGAAGCTTACTGCGTGAGATCCAAAGTAGCTTTGCAATTGAATAAGAACGCAGTTTTCTCTGACGAGTCGTTGGGGATGGTTTCCGGATTCTGTGTAAGATGGATCTCATTAACATTTTCAATTACTATAGAATCTTTCAGTCTAGGGCAGAATTCAATGAAAGTATGTAGTGATAGCATATTCTCAACCCATATGCCTCAAGGCACTAAATGCTAGTACCTCATAGCCCAGGAAGTATAGACTGAATTTGGCCTCTTCGAAATCGAGCCTTTTGATAAGGCTACATCACCGATCAATCTCAATAAGAATAATAGATCATTGATAAAACCCCTTGTACATAGCTTTATCCAACCAATGCCTGTATTGAGCACGGCATAGTCACCAAACTTAATCAACAGAATCGATGAGGTGAAACATCTTACGTCATGCCCAAAACCTTTGATTAGAACTCCAGGCTTGCTTTGGGATCCTTGATTCTGTACATCTGGGAAACATTAGAACCAATTATCAGCGTCGATGAGGGTTTGGATGCAAGACATCTCCCCAAAATTTTGTTCGTAGTCGTCTATTCTAAGTGAGGAGGCATTCAGAAATTCATCCACTTAGCATCTGCACCATCATCATCTACAGCTGAAGAATTACTGCACTAAGGCTCAGTAAGGCAAGAGATAGTCACAGTTTGTTGCAGAAAGTAGCTTCGGGTGGCTGCATATGGACTGTCACAATAGCCCGGGTTGTTGGCCACAGACTCTGGCCCCGCATTTGCAGCCATGCTGACTGCAGGACTCGAGCGTCAACCTTCCTGCTCCTTGCCAACACAGAACTATACTCAGCACATAGCTCACAGAAGCAATCTACCAGCAACCCTCAGTAACCACATCCAATTCTTTTAGTGTCACTCGTAATTTCGTAAAAGAGATGAGCTCCGCCATTATATTCAAACGATCATGTAATGCCGTCACCATCAAATCACAGCTTTAGCGCAATCAAATGTTGCAACTAAAACCCCATTTTACCACATTGACAGCAAGCTCGAGCGGCACGAATCCAGAAAGTTCAAATTTCGTGTGAAATTGGATCACGAAAGGGATTCGCACAACATTAACTCAACCCCTAGGAAACGAAGCTACACGATACTCGTCATCCATACGACTTCTGCGATCATGACGACGCAGCGAAATCTCGAAAATCAGAATCCGAATCCAAACCCAAAACCAAACCCAAATCCAAATCAAATCCAACTCTGTGACCCAAAACTCTAGAAACTGGAATTCAATCTCCATGAACAGTATTACAGATATTGAACAGTACGTCAACGAAACACGCTCTTCTTCTGCTTCTGTACTCGCCTCAAACAGCAATTACCTGGAGAGAGAGAGAGAGAGAGAGGTCAGCGAATCGCCCACCACCAGGCTATTCCGCTCGTCGATCGAAAGCTGACAAACCAAGCAACAGCAAGCCTACGAAGCTACAATGAGAGATGGAGTGCGAGTTCGTTTTGGCAGTGCTACGAGAAACCACGCCCTCCTCCTCTCTCCTTGTCCTCATTCTTCTTCACCGAGCTGAACCATGGCGGCCACTTGCCCATCCTGGAGGCACTGGTTCCGATCAGCTGTGAGCGATTTCGAAATTGGGTCATTCTTCACATCTTGCATCAACACACTGCATCTATTGGTGGATAAATCTAGTTTGTTTGTTAGTTTGTTTGTATGTTTGTTGTTTGAACCGTATGGGATGTACTCTTCGTTGGAAAATTAATGGAAAATACAACACAACATCATGTCTTAATATAGACTTGGGTTAGATAGAATAACAGAATGTAATAATAATCATTTCGCGTGAACTTCACCGACATTAACTTCGGTAGTGATCAAAATGTTTACATCGAATTCTTCTTTTTACTGAAAATCCACGTCGATTCGTATACGTATGCTGTATACGGGCGAGAGGCGTGTGAGCGTGCCGTATATTCGTGTGCAGCACAGCTTTTCCCGCCTGCGGCCACAGGATCGGCGGAAATCAAAGGAAGCATCGCCATCCTGCTGCGCATTTGAATTCCTGGGTTTGGTGGCGCAGATTTTCTTGGTGTCCTCTACGAATTCGGATCACCTGCGATGACCTTTTCAATCGTGTCTGGCTTTGCAGTTTTTCAAATACTTGCGCTCCGGCCCCGCAAGCTTTGCCTCGTTTGACAAGGTACGAAACCGTGTTGCTTTGTGAATCTTCAAAGCTTCAGCCCTACCTGATGACTGTTGCAATTTTTTGGGGGTTGAGACCACCTGCATTTCGGATATTACAATATTCTTGGTTGCAGTTGTGGGCAGTTTTCGGGGTTGGAAATTGTAAGGTATCGTGCCCTGTTTGTAATGCGGGTTATTTTTTACGAGTTTTGTGAGGAACAAATAATAGAGAGAATAGTATAGTGACGTTTGTGTATTTTGCAGTAGTTTGATTACTGTGGAGGGTTTATGAGTATTTTATGTTTTCTTGAATGTTATCAGCAGGATGGGAACTACAGCTAGTCGTGATGGACGCTTGGAATCTGATTCCGAGGATGATGGACTCGATTCTCCTCAGAGTCCATCATCCGAGAGAAGTTTTCATGACTCCGAAGTGGGGACTCCAGCTCCCGCACCGCGAAGAGATTCCTCGGATTTCTCGACCCCTGACGCCACTATTTCTCTCAGAATGGGTTCACTCACTCTGGATGGGCCTGCATCAGTGTCAGGTTTGAGGAAGGCCAAGTTGTACCAATACATCCAAGGAAAGTGGCTCACAGCTGCTAAGAGTGTGGGTTGGCAGTTTGTTAAAGAAGAGGATGGTGATGACGAAGAGGATGAAGAGGATGAAGAGTGGAGAAGCTCTACCGTGGGACACAAAAATTACTCATTCTGGATGTTTGAGGTGGGTGGTGCCAGAGCTAGAGTCGATGATCGTCTACAGATGCATTTCTACGAGGATCAAATGCGTGTGGATTTTGTGGCAAAAGGTGTGTGGGCCTTAAAGTTTCCGATCAAGGAACAATTCCGAGCCTGTTCTATAGAGTACGAAGATGCTAAGTAAGTTATGCTGTCTTTTGCATGGAGATGTTGGCTATCGTTGTTCCGCGTAATACAACTTTTTCAATCGGTTTTGTTGACGTAGTTGATGAGAATCAGGTACTTGTTCTCTGTCTTGACACTATGATGATCGCCTTCTTCTTGCATTGGCAGGTTCGAAAATACATATTTCTTGGAACCAACTGAAGCAAACAAAGTGAAAGTCTTTGGAAAAGACTTCTTGGGCTGGGTGTCTGGTAAGGAGGAAGATGACTCTGTTTGGATGGATGCCGAAGATGTGATACCAACACCTTCGAAGACAAAAGAGCTCAGGGAGACTCTGAAGACACCCTCAAAAACAGCTATTCAAAGCTTAGCAATGGGTGGCATGGATCACAGTTTTCTGGTCAACGATTATGGTCTGGATGTGCTGACTAACCGATCAACCGGTCTGGAGGGTACAGGGATTACTATTCGTTTCCAGGACGGAGGGAGACCTGTTATTGGAAGCTCTGCCTTCCGAACTCCAAAGAAGGGGATGCTCATTAGAGGGGAGAGCAATATGATGCTGATTAGTCCATCCAAGGACGGGAAAGCCAACGCTGGTGGTGTTAGCCAGCTCGACATTGGAACAGGGAAGATGGTTGCAGAATGGAAGTTTGAAAAGGATGGAACCCCCATCTCAATGATGGATGTCACCAATGATAGCAAGGGCGCACAATTGTACAGTAATGGCTCTACCTTTCTTGGGTTAGATAACAACAGACTCTGCAGGTGGGATATGAGGGATTCTCAAGGAATTGTTCAGCAGCTTGCCAGTCCTGCCGCTCTGACTTGGACAGAGGGCCACCAGGTCAGTTAATGCAATCATAGTGTGAGCTATGTTTTGTGAGGTTGTCTTACTTGAGCACTTGCAGTGTGTGATCGGGACTATGGTAACACGGATTTGCTCTAAAGACATTCTGTTCTTCAAGAACGTCCTTGTCATGGAGGTAACTCTGGTGGACAGGTGTTGGTTTTGTATTCTAAGCAATGAATACGTAATTCACATGTGCGGATAATTTCCCCTGCTTTATGTTTGAATTGAAACTTTACTTTGGTTTTATTATGCTAACTCGCTTATTCATAGCATCATATCAGTTGTCTCATTTGCTCATATGTCACTGTGCAGTTCTCCAGAGGAACTAATTTTAGCTGCTTTGCAACATCCGGAGATGGCAGCGTGGTTGTTGGATCTAAAGATGGCAAAGTGAGGCTGTATAGCACCACCAGCATGAGAATGGTAAATCATTATTTTATCTGGTTCATCAGGAAGACTTTGCTTTTATATTACCACCGTATGCGCACTTCTGAGTCAATGGGCCACATCGAATTTTTTGTATGTCTTAAAACTTGCTTTATGTTTTCTCTTCTTTCACGCTCAAACTGGGTTTCCTCCTGCTATTCTCACTGGTCAGCATAGTGCCCCAAGGATTTTGGTTGATTGTCTTAATTAGAAACCCTAACTATCTTATAAAGTCGTTCTCATATCTTACTGCTGAACTTGAAATGCAGGCTAAAACCGCCTTTCCTGGTTTGGGGTCTCCAATTACACATGTTGATGTTACATATGATGGTAAATGGGTGTTAGCTACCACCGACACGTACTTGATCCTAATCAGTACAGTTTTTAGAGACAAGGATGGTAGGATGAAGACTGGATTTTCTGGTCGTATGGGCGGTAAGATTGGTGCACCAAGGTTGTTAAAGCTCCGGGCATTTGATGCACATCGGGATGGCAAGCAACAAAAACTCCACGGTGGAAAATTTTCTTGGGTAAGCAGTTACTTGGTTGAAAGTTCCCGTATTCTCAACGCATTATAACCTCCGCTATCCTTATATTATCTTTACTATAGAAGACTACTGTACCCACTTAAATAGGCCAATGGTTCTATCGTGCTAGATGCCTTAGAGCTCCGTTTCAAGCTCTTGTTTCTGCATCCTTCTGTAACTTGTGCACGAATTTCCTTTTGCTTTTTCCAGGTCACAGAGGAGGGCAAGCAAGAGCGGTATTTGGTAGTTTCGGCTGGAACTTTCACGGTCGTTTGGAATTTTGATATTGTGAAGGACAGCACGCATGATTGCTACAAGTAAGAATCTGACTTCAAACTCAGTACGCTTCGAAAGTATATAGACTAAAAATAGAGCCTAGTTCTTAGGCTTCCGTTTTTCAACTGATTATTACCCTGCTGGGTGTTGTGAATGCAGGCATCAAACAGGTTTGAAAAGCTGTTATTGCTACGAGGTTGTTGCAAAACCGGAGTCTATTGTGCAGAGCACGTTCATGCACGAAAAGTTCCTCGACGATTCAGGAGAAGCTCCTCTGGTAGTAGCTACTCGACAGGAATTGAGTTCATTCAACCTTTGAACTGTAGGCAGATTTTCAATGATTCATTCGACGTGGAGAACATGTACAAAGTTTAGTAATCACTTTACTGGAGTGTTCTTCTTTTGTCCAGTTTTAGGAAGTAGCGTGAATGTCTATAGCTTTGATCTTTGACAATCGCTAAATCAATTCTGATCATCTTTGATATTGCAAGGCTTACCACTACTTCATTTGTAATTGGGAAGAAGAGTGAGCTATTTGTGGAATATTTGTCTCCAAGCCGCAGTCATGATTTTTTCACTTGAAATAAATAGGTTTTTGAATTTTAAATGGTACAAAAGCATTGTAATGGTTGGCATTACTTGATCATCACCACCTATTATGCCAAAGGGGTTCACTTGAAATGCTCCCATCATGCCGAAAGTGTCAATCCAATCCCATAATTGGTTACAGTATCTAAATCTTGGTGCAATCCAATTCACTAGGATACTTCAGCTCAATTCTATTGTTTAGAATATTTAGGCCTCTTGAGTCATAATTAATTAGCAATTATTGTTTTTGTCCAAAGTTAAAATTAGATTTGTGTTTAAGTTAATAATAAAAACTTGAATTTTTGGAAATATTTAGAACAAAAAAACCTTAAAACACTTGTGAAACAACAAAATAACAGAACAAAACTTGAACTTTGGTTAAAAAAATGAAGATTTAGAGATGCTCAATTAGATAATTCTGTTTTGTAATTTCCAATTAAATATATAATATACAAAATATCTTATGATAATTTCATATATGTCCATATTTGCAATATTTGTAGAAGATTTAGTTGGGAAAAATAAAATAAAATAAAATAATTGCTGGGTTAATTTTGAATCAGTACAACACAGAGATTGTATTTTAAGTGTTGAATTCTAGGTAAATCTGTTACTTGAGTATGTTTTCCCTTATATATAGCGTCCATATGTAAAAAAATATATATCTATATATATATATATATATATGCACTAAATCATTTTTCAATTGGATTAGTATCAAAATTGTATCATATACATATGAAAAACATCTAAATTTTAAGTATATATAATTCATTCAAAAACATAGTAAGCATTCTGAGTATTTAATTACTTACATATAGTATGAAGTTATTTCAGGTGCTATTTCTAAAATAATTAAAGATTAAAAAGTTTGTCTGTAATAATTGCTTCAAAAAAATTGTATAAAAAAAATTATGTTCTAATCTAATATTTATATTTATGTTAATTAATTTCTATACATGGTTTAATTATAATTTTAAAAATTGAAAATTATGTCTCCAAGTAGACATTCTTTTTTTAAAGGTCATGCTAAATAACTAGTTTTCGTGGCCTTACTGCAAATAATTCTTAAAAACATAGCTATTTTTAAGATTGATTAAATCAACCAATTTCTAAAAATAAAATTAAAAAAATAAATATTATAATTTTTTTAGACATATTAGCTATAAAATGGTTAGAAGATAATTAAATTTATAAAAAAAAATTGTTACAAGACTAGGAACTAATTTCATTCACAGAAGTTGTTCTTTGAAAAACATTGATTAAATCTAGTAATTCAAATTTGGTCTCTTTTCAATGTAATAAAAATTTGATTTTCTCCACCAACCTAATAAAATCTATATGGTCCTTGTTTTTAATTCTAAATAAAACAAGATTAAATTCTTCATGGATAAATCAATAAAATCCCAATTCATGTAATTATTATTATTTCTTAAAATTTATTTACTTATTTTGAAATCAATTTTAAAAAAATAGTTATATATGTATGTATGTATACAATAACATGGTAGATAAATTATAACATATATATAATATTTAAGAGAATTATTTTTAAATGATATTTTTAAATTTATAATAAATACCAATATATTTTTTAATTTTAAACTTCATAACTTTATAAGTTTCAAATAAAATTTTAAATTATAAAAGTGAAATGAGATTAACAACTTACAAATTTGCAACAAATTCAAAATTATTGTTTTAGTTTGTTATTTGGAATAATTTCATATTGTAAAGGTCAAACTTCTTCTATCTAGAATAATTTGATCCTTACTTTATATAGTCCCTTTAGTCAACTATAACCAAATTATACTTTGGCAATATAACCAAAATAATTAAGTTTTTACTTAATTTATAGAAAAATATTATGCTTAGAGGATTTTTAATAAACATTATTATAATACTTTTAGATTTTTTTTTTTTATTCTAATCATAGTTTTTTCTATCACTCAAGTTATTTTTTAATTTTTTAAAGAATAATAAAAGTTAAAAAATTATAACATTATTAAAAAAAAATCTCTAATTATACTCAAAATAATTTGGTAGATACACACTTTAGAGACTTATTTGATTTTTTTAAAAAAATTAATATACTAATGTGGAGTTAGAATTTGGTGGAATTCACCTCATACATAAGATTCTAAACACAAAGGCCAAAAAGTTTGATAAATTTTATATTAACAAAAGTATATATTTTAGTTCATGTTAGAACCTAAGATTAATCTTTTAGTGTACTTTGTTAGTAATGTTTGTAAATACAATAACAAAACTGCTAATTATCACATTTTTATTTACAAAAATTATAAATGTAAAGATATCAATGAATTTTTAATTGAATAAGAAATGTGAACTATGTCATGTTTTTATTAGTATTAAATTAATATTTCTTTAGAATTCCATTAATGTCAAATTATCAAAATTCAAATTTTAAAAATTAACTTTATTTGGTACTTCTTCTACTTATATAAAAGAAATGGTGCCTTTCCATAAAAATCACTAATTGAATAAGATTGTTAGCACAATTTATAATCATTTATATCACACTCCCAAAATCTGAACCACAAGTTGGACAAAGTTGTATGTGTTGAGAATGTTTAGAAAGACACAAGAGTAGTAATATATACACACACAATAGAGTTTGTAAGGAGAGAGAGAGAAAACTTTACACAAAATCTATTGATCTGGTTGTGTCTCGTATACAAAAGGAGAAGGAGAGACGATAAATAGTTTCTTTTCACTACATTCCAAATACTGTAGCTATAGTTTTTACTATAGACTACAGTAAATATTATGAAGAGCGCCGACTATATTTAATGCTCTCAACACTCCTCTTTGCTCATCATAATATTTACATGATATAAAATTTGTATAGAATTATAACCTATACTTTTCTGTAATCTCACAAGATTAACAATTTTTGCCTCATTAGAACCTTATCTAAAAAAACCTTATTGTATTCAAGTGCAAAACCATAGATGAAGGAAAAAGAGTACAACATCATTTTTCTTAATTATTTAAAGAGTTCATTAACTTTCTTATTTAAGAAAAGTAAGTCCATTCATACCAATGCCATAAGTAAGTTGGGAATGATTGCACAATGGGAGAGTTTTGATGAAGAGATCAGCAAGGTTATTTGCAGATTCATTTTTTTTTTTAATTATAAGTGTTTGATCAATAATCAAGTCGTAGATATAACTAAATTTTTTAGGATCAGTATGCTTTGTCCTGTCGCCTTTAATGAAACCAACTTACATCTGTGCAATACAAGCACTATTGTCTTCATGTAAGATAGTTGGAGAATGATTATATAAAAATCCATAGGTTATTTGAATGAATTTATTAATTGATCGCAACCAAATGCATTCTCAAGATGGTTCATGTAAGGCAATAATTTTTGCATGGTTAGATGAAATTGCATTATAGTTTGTTTTACTGATTTTCATGATATTGTAGCTCCATGTCTTAAAAGTACATATCCTATTTAAGATTTAGTTGTTGTAGTATTACATTTATATCCCGCATCACAATATCCAACTAATTTTGAATCTGCAAATTGTGTATAGTATAATCCCAAGTCTTCAGTACCTTTTAAATAAAATAATAAATATTTGATGCCATTCAAATGTTGTAGTATTGGACGTGCACTATGTCTTGCAAGAATACTAATTGCAAATATAATATCTAGTCTTGTAGATGTAGCCAAATATAAAAGTGCTCTAACCGTTGCAAGGTATGAATATTGATCTTCCAATATTTCTTCTTCTTCTTTACATGGATAGTATGGATCGTTACTATCACGACTAAGTCCAACCATTGGTGTTGATAATAGATAAGCATCAATCATATTGAATCTCTGCAAGATTCGTCTAATATATGTTAGTTGGTAGAGAAAAATGCTACCATTTGTGAGATGCATAATCTGAAGTTTAATACAAAAAATTATTTTGCTTAGTATTTTCATCTCAAATTCATGAATAAGTAGATTAGTAACTGCAATGCATGTAGATTTAGTGCCTACTAGGTTAAGATCATCAACATATACAACAATGATCACAAAACCAGTTTTATCTCATTTGATAAATAAATAAGAGATTAATAGATCACTTACAAACGTATGTGTATTTAAATAAGCTTAAAAACATTGATATTATATGCATCCGGATTGTTTTAGACCATACAAGGCCTTACATAATTTAATACCATAATATTGTCTTAGAGTAGGTCTATTTGGATTTCTTGTTTCTAAGTCAGGTGGAACTTTCATATAAATATTTGCATCAAGAGAACCATATAGATATGCAGTTACCACATCCATCAGATGTATTTCAAAGGTGGCATGAACTACCATTTCAATAATATATCAAAATGTAATTGAATCCATAACTAGAGAATATGTGGATTCATAACCAATGCTAAATTGTTGAATAAATCCTTGGGCAACAAGACAAGCTTTATAGCCGGTTATTTGACGGTGAGCATCTTCCTTGCATATTAATACCATCTTATATTCCATAAGGCAAGACGTAAGGGTGTCTACAATTGGACCAAAGACTTTCCTCTTACGCAGAGACGGATATTCTTCTTCAATTGTAAATTTTCCATTTTGACCAATCAAAGCAACGCATTGCTTCCTTGATGGTTTGAGGTTCAAGATTATCTTCTTTGCAAGAAAAAGCTTCTATAATCATATATACAAATGATTCATCTACCATAATAGATGGTCTGTCCCAAATATCATCTGTAGCATAATACAGAATAGATAATTCTTTACTCAACTTTCTTTCTAATTCCAAGATTGTTTTTTATAAGAATTGAAGGTACATTATGCCTGGATATATTATCATGAATTGGTAGTCTTATAGGATGAGTGGAAATTTCTTGAGAAATAATACCAGGATTAATCAATATTATAGTTTTCTCCTTATATGATTATTTATCTGGTCCATGAGTTCTTTTAGTTGTTGCTCTTATAACTTGAGATACTGTAGTGAATGGCACTACAATCAAAGTAGGTGCATT